GAAATTTGCTGAATTTTCAGCGGTATCTTAGAACGCGGTTAGGTTAGTTACGTTTTAGAGAGCCTCGTAGGTAGTCACTTTTTATTATTCATTTTTAGTTTCTTATTTTTATTTTACCGCCGGGTCGGCGTAGTTTGTGAGCGTCAAGAGCACGCATCTGTAATTTATAAAGTTGAATAAAAAGGGATTTAAACCCTTTTCAAGACTTTGTGTACTTTCCAGTTCATAGCAGTCAGCACTATTGTTGCGTGCAGGTTGGGAGCGCGCAACATTACAAGTTAAAAGGCACAAACTATGCTCAGCCCATTTGCGATGACATACTCAAGTGAGTATGAATTAGTGCCCTTTTGTCAATCAAAATAATATTCAGAAATCGCTTGAAAGTAAAATAAGATATGCAAAATAATACTAGTGTCACGATAAGTGCCAATAATATGTCCCGATTTGAAAAACTCTTGTCGTATAAACAGAAAAGAAACAGTCATTCATTTTTTGAAAGATTTATGGAAACGTTATGTTTTGTAATATTTCTTTATCTCTGCTTATGTTTTATAGTATTTCCTTTTTGTTTATTTTAAAATTTGGTTATACAACTGCATTGCTATTGGGGTGAGAGAACATATTAAAATTTCTTAAGGATATGCCGCATGAAAAATTTGGGAATGTGTGATATGTCTAACAAACAGGCTGTCATGCAGCTTAAAATAAATTTTTAAAAAATGTACATTATATACAAATATACTAATATTTACAAAAAGTATTAAATGAAATAAAATTGCAAAAATTCCTAAAATGAAAACAATCTTTAATTTTAAAATCCTACAACGTCACATACATAATTCTTTCCTTAAAAGATTTATGAAAATTGAAATGAAAAGCCTTAGGTGCATGATGACTGAAGGTGATGGAATTCGATACTTACGCTTTAACGAAATACCGAACTGGCACAGTTTGAATACATTTTTAGAGATGAAAAGATAAAAGTTACTAATCGGGTGCAAGTTGATGGTTTTCGTAAATTTTGTTTTGCAAAACTTACAAACTATTGTTATTCATCGTAAGTCGGCAGACATGAAATGAAAGCGTACTTTAGTAATTTAAAGTACAAATCTTAATTATTAAATAAGGATTATTTGATACATTAAAAATAAAACAATTACATTCTTCGTCCAATCTGTCTCCAATGCTTTTGCTGTCTTATTCTGCCCTACTGCAAATCGATCTTTTTTTTTTTTTTTTTTTTTTTTTTTTTTTTTTTTTTTTTTTTTTTATAACACATCAGAGAAATGTTGTGACACAGATTTGCGTAAACATCGCCAACACCGGCAGTCTGCAAAACGTATTTCCCTGTTGGTCCTTTTAGAAATTTTGGGTCAAAATTCTGTGTTCCTGCAGAAAGTTTTCAGTAGTTTCTTCCGTTGCTTACGAGCGCATATATTAAAATTATTTTTAAGGCAAAAAAGTATCACAATTTGTTTCTAAATGTCGTTGGAGCTTGAAATACAATAAAAAGAAACGAAAACGTACGAGAATGGTGACGTCTGTGTTATAATGTTTTCAGCATGGTTGATTGAAGAAAATTTGTGCACCTGGTTGTTAGATTTCGAGACATTTTCAAAATTTAGCGACTTCTGCTAAGGTGGTTGCAATAGCAGTGACTACCTGAAAGTCTAGGACATTTGATGATTTCATTAAAAGTGTAAAAGATACACCTAGGATAGATTTTAAATATACGCTTAGTGATTAGATTATCATTGGTGGGTGATTCGAATATGGGATTTTTTTATCCGAGCTTTTAAAATAAAAAGATGGAGTCCATCTGAAAGCTTATTTTTATTAACGTCACATTTTTCCCTTTAACAAAATCACTTGTAATTGCATGTGCATTTCCCAGTTATGTTAGAATCTTAGATTTACGTGTAGTTTCGTAACATATACGACTGTTTGTTGCCTTAATCGCCAGAACGTTGGTGATTCTTTTGGTGATAGTGCCTTAGACTCATTAGTAAAACAATATTTAAAATACATGTAAAGAAACTGAGACCCGATAATTTTAATATGGACACCTAATTCTTTCTTTGTTGAAATCAGGTTTAGAAACCTTTTTGCAAAATTTACTTGTACTTTAAGTTTTAAATCTCACTGATAATACACTAATGTTTGTGAAAACTGCAATGCCGTGAAGGAATTATGCAAATTGAACCAAACTTACAGGAAATGTAAAAGTGAGGTAAGAAATGCAAATGATTAGAATTAAAAAAACGATTTGCGCATGTGTGGAAAAAGAACCGGCCGCTTTTTCCTTTTATATAAAGGACTGTAAATTTGCGTTAAAACTTGTTTATCGTCTTCTGTCTGAGGTGAACGTTTAATGAGTGGCCAATAAGCCTCGTCAAAGACGGAGGTTGCCATGCCAACAACTAACGGAGTTCAAACGAGGCCGCATCATCAGTATGCGAAAGGATGGACGCAAGCAGTCTCAGCCCACACACAGCATAATGCAACAACAGTGATTGCCTGTATGAAAGAAATGGACAGAAATCTTGGCAGTGGGGCACGCAGAAACATAGCGGCACGGGGCAACAGACACCTGATCCGTATGTCTATGATGGACCATAAAGTAGCCTTCCTTCCTTCGCCCATTAAGCACAACGTTGGAGCACGGCTGCATGTGTTGTGTTTACTAGCTCCATGGTTCGTTGCCGTCTGCTGCAGCATAGCTTCCAAGGGTACCTTTACGCAGAATCCCCCTGTCGCTGAATCACAGACGCCTCCGACTTCAATGCGCACGACAACACAATACGTAACATGACCTGTGGCAACAAATTGTTTTCTGCCATGAATCTTGCTAAAATCTGGAGTACAGTGATGGGGTATAGTGATGGGAGAGTACGCGTCAGACGTAACAGAGGGGAATGACTGCTCCCACAGTCTGTTATCCAGCGTCATACCGCACGTGGATCTGGCATCATAGTGTGGGAAGCTGTTGGGTGTAATTGTGAATCCCATGTAGGATTCTCCTTAGTGATTGTTACATCAGGGAAGTTATCGAGCCAGAGATCCATCCCATTTTTCGACGCATTACGGGCGCTGTATTTCCGCAGGATAATCCCGTTCACATGCTTTTAAGACTGCGCAAGTCTTCTTTATGGCACAACAGGTTTCGCTTCTTTCATGGACTGCTTTTCCACCGGATATGTAGCCCCCTAAGCATGTCTGAAATTTCATCGGTCGGTACAGCTGGTACTAAAACTGAACTTTGGCATCAAGTAGAACCCATATGGAATACCATTCCTCAGGATTATAATCAGAATCTGTATGATTCAATGCCGAGTACAGGCTCTTATTGCTCAGCGTGGCGGACAAACAAAGTACTGATCTTCGACATTCCCCCTTTTTTTTTTTTTTTTTTTTTTTTTGTCTTGTAAATTTGATTGTTTATTTTTACCGTTAACAGTAACATGTGAAATAAATTTCATTCATTTCCGACAATTCTTTTATGGTGATATATTTTTCACCAACATTAATGTACTAATATCACACAAAATACTAAATGTAAGATGGATTACCTTCTGCACTAAGTGGACTCTTAATTTTATTACTGGGCTTGAAATGACCTTGATATGCTATAAGTTGAAGCTAAACAAAGGAGAGAGAAGAATCATTCAAATAAAAAAGCTACTTTTAGTTGCTTCAAAGGAATTATTAACGTGTCATTTAACAACTCTCAAAGCAGTAAGCCACACAATAACGTGATATGAAAAGGCACTTGATAGAAATGGGCCGCAAACGTTCGGCCGACCTGCTGATGTATGAGTGCACAGGCGTTTTGGGCAAGTTCTCTGAAAACGAGTTAATAGTCAGATGATTTCGTTTTCAGAAGCTTGAAAGCTATTAGACCACAATGAAAACTCTGTTCAGAACAACATAAAGCATAAACAACACTTCTTGCTCACAATTTAGTAGTAATTTATTCTAAAAGACGTAATGAATATTTATCAAGTCAATGGCAATAAAGCACAATTTAGAGGTAGTTATGGATAAGCCTGACATCATAGCATTCTCACAGTGCCTGCTTATTCGTTAGATATAAGTCCGATCGATTCTCGATAAGACACGTTTTGTTTCTATGAGCGATGACATAAATAAACTTATATATTTATTATATATTTTTATATATTTTCTTGCGTTTTGGAAAAAATTGTTCAAATTTCGGACGGCTTTTATGGTGCATTATTTTCAAAGTTATGTTATCCGACCGTTTAAAAATGTGTGCATGGATAGACAGGATATTTTCTGCCAAATATGAACGAGAAAACATTACTAGATCGGAACAATAATCTGCGGGATGCTTGTATTCATAGCTTTCTAAACAGCGCTTTCGGGAAAATTGGAGGCCTTAACAAAATAGTAGAAATCGGAGATTACATTTTTACGAAAAGCAGAAAAAAGGGGATTGTATATTGATTGTTTATTAAATAAAGAGACATAATTTCGTTCAGTATTCCCTAGGAATGATTAATGCAATTTAGGCTAGATCTCTCTCGAACTTTCTTTGTTCAGGGTAGCCAGCATTCATGACCAATGGAATAATAAGTAAGTACTTTAATTTTTATTTATTTATTTATATATGTATTTGATTTACTGACTTTTAATCATCTAGCTTATTACATTTTCTTTTAACTTGTAAATATTCATTGGATAATATCTGTGTGGCTTAGTGTGGCCTATAACAGTGGTTTTAAGACATCACTGAAAGAAATTATAGGCGAAGAGAGAGATAAAGTACACTGTTGCACGAGGGGGAAGAATTTCTAGAAAGAATATCGAAAACGAACTTGAGTTACTTACTTAGCACATTATTGAAATCTGATTCTTAAAAAAATTGAAAAGATTTCATTCTCAAATTTACAGCAATAGACTGATGATTATTAAATAATAACTTACGATTTAGATCAAGTAGAGCCCATATACGATTTAGAAATTAAATAATAACTTACGATTTAGATCGAGCATGACAACGCCTGTTCTCGGTTTAGTGAGATTTGTGTTTGAGGCTTGGCAGGTTATATCCACCATAAGGTCTGATCGTTGCAAGTCTGTGAGTAGCACGTCGTTTCTCACTACTTCCTGCGGTGTAATATTGTATGTGTCGTCTATAAGAATGCTACCTTTCCACCAGGTTAACGAAGGAAGAGGTTCACCTAAAAGAACGTGCATTTATTATCTCTAACAAATTGCATCAGTTATACATTATGAAAAACCAATATCGAAAATACATATTTCAGAAAATAATCTTACTGATAGATTTAAGAATTCTAGAGCTTAAGGTGAAAATTATATAACACATTTTTGGTTAAAATTCTCGATAAGAATTATTTTCTGCCTACTTGATAAAGATAAATATATTTATGATTTAAAATTGTAATATAGGAAAACAACTCATAATAATCACTTTATGAAGCAAACGAGTAATGTCATTTTAAAATTTAATATTTATCCTTGATTGACTATTTCATCATTTCAGGGACCATACCATATTTACAGATAGGATCATTTACATGCCGTTTTATGACTACTAAGCCTCATAAGAGATTCAAATCAGCAATCGCTTTGAAGCGAAGAATTATATTTTTAAGCTAAAAAGTACGCATTACGTCAGCCAATATAATTTGTGTTCAAAGCATACAGAGTATTTAATTAGGATCAATCTGAGTCCCTGAGGCTTTTAAATGATAAAGAGGATTAGTTGTCTTTTAAACATATTCCATATTCCAAGATGGCCAACTAAAATGTTGAATTCGTTCCACCAAAGAGAACAGTGAAAGACTTTCGAATTGTTAAAGGCTGGCTAAACTTCTGGAATAAAACGAAAAGCCGTTTTCTGAGTTACATACAAGTACTATCAATGTTTTGTAGATGCTAAATAGCCTTTTTTTATTTTTATTTAAAAAATCTGCAGAAGAATAAATATGCCATTAAAGAAGATTATATGCGCGTGTATATTATAATACATCAAAATCTGAACACTAAATTGGAAACCTGATCCCATTTAATGGCGTTGACAGTACTAGAGAAGTTTTAAAGTTTTGCGAATGCAACTATCTATGAAACCACTTCACAGTTCCCCCAGAAAAGACAGATCGTCGATTTGGAAAGTCTCTTCAGGCATCAGTAATGAGACACACTCATCTAAATGTAGATTGCATAGCTACCCCCCCGACAGAGACTTCTTCGTGTTTTCCAGCCCGCAGAATGCGGCAAAAATGAAAAGATGAGATTTATGGACTAATTGATTACATTCTCTCCAGAATGACGTTGTATTAGGATCATACAAACAACGTTCACTTCAAAAGAAGGGAAAGAGAAATGAACATCCACTCCTTTTAGCTGGTCTTGCAAGGAGAATTAATGCTTGTTTGAAAGCGTGCCTTTATGGGATTCTCTTTGTTAATTTTCAGATAAGAGACTTGGGAACGCAAAATAACTTTCTTCTTCATAGTGTGATGTTATTCAGTTTTCTTGAACGTGACAAGAAGGAGATTCAAGTTGATTTGGCATGAACTTCTGAATGAGTCTTGACAGTTGCTGAAAAACGGTATCTTTGGAAGGAAAAAATGTAACAAACATTTGAGTTCTGTAGGACGGTGAAATGAGCAAAAGTTGTATAATTTAATGCTTATCTAGTTATTTACTAGTTGCTTACATAAATTGTTTCTTTTTTGGTGGATATTGTTTCTGAAAGCACTCCAATCGTCCCCAAAAATATCAAAAAACCATTAGTGTAATTCTCAGGTCGCGAATTTTCAAGATTTTCCCTTCGATTATCCCACTTATTTTGCCTTTTTTTATAAAGATAAAATTTATTTAACTAATATTTACTATATGTTAGTCATTCATTTCCAATTTTTAAATTCAGGAGAAATTTTCTGCCCCTTAAAATCAAATACAAGTCTAGAACATCCAGAGAAAATATACATGGAACTTCTAGATAACATCATCATCAATATTGTTTTAGAAAATGGCTTACAAGCCATTTTCTAAAACGCTTTTTAAGGTAAACTTAATTGTTTTCAATAGTTTGTACGATTTTATCGAAGGAACTTAATTTTAAAATCATCATAATAGAGTTTATGATGATGGTGAATATGTTTATATCTTAAAATTCGAAATTCTTAAGCTTTATAATCGGATATATCAGCTATAGCAGTAAACTCTGGAAATGAATTTGTAACTATATAAATAGAAGGAATAATTGCATTAAGTAATTAGGAATTTTATGAACAAAAATATACTGAAATTTCAATTATGCCTAGCTCATAATTGAATCCAAGATCAAAAAGGGGCATTGAATTCATTGTAGTATATATTTGTATATTTATATAGCACAGGATAAATCTCGAAGAACACAAACTATATTGGTTTATCCAAAACTAATGCGCAGACAGCGGCCGGGCGATAAAGCAGTTGAATACTAATATGACTGTATGGGCATTTTCATGGTTTTTCCCATGTGCATGTGGACCATTTGCCATCAGAACGTCCTTCAAGAAAGCATCCCTCTCCTTAGGAAGATAGATCTCGATTGCTCGCGTTTTAATCAATTAAATCTAATTTGCCCAAAGTGTCTTACACCATTTATGCAACTGCGAGCTTACTCATTTCAGAGTCATGGAAAATTTTTACTATAAAAATGCAATATTTTTCTCCACACACATTGTTCCCTTTTAGATCGGTATCGTAAGAAAAAATTTCTTTCTGGATTTCTTATATGTCAAGCCTTTCAAGGGAATCCATAAGTTATCTCCTGTAGAAAGCCAGTATATCAACGAAGTATCAAAGCATCCACACACATTGCGAATGTGGATGCTTTTATATTAGCCAAAATAATGTGCTAGCCAAACTAATTTATATAGGGAACTGCTAAAGCGATGAACAATTTGAAGCAGCATACACTCATGTGACACTCTATGCTCCATAGAAAACATAGCATTGCTGAAACAGTAGAGAGGTTTACTCCATCTTTAGGAATGATGTTTCTATATAAGATCGACAATGAACCGTTTGTTCTAAAGGTTTCTGACCTTAAAGGGCGAAGTAAGAACAAGACAATCTATGGTAGATGAACACTAAATGAACGCTGTTAATAACCAGGATCCGTAATGTGCTGTTTCAGAGGTGCAGAGACCCTCAGACTTTCCAAATCCATTGGTGCTAAATCACCTCGAGCGAGTGGTTTACAAAAGCAATTATGAAGTTTGATGGCTTCATCAACTGATTGAACGCAACAAGCTCGATAAAATGAGTGATCAGCTTCTGCTTAAACAGGAAAGTGTTCCGTATTTCAGAAAAATATTTATTGATGATAACTTCTGGACATATTTCTACAGATACCAAAGCCATACTCAAATAACTGCAGAAAACAAATTACAGATGGCGTTGAAACCAGGGCTCTAACCAGAAAAGTTTCATTGTCGATCTGGTGGGATCACTAAGCAATTCTCCTTTTTGAAACACTTTCTTAATGTAAAACAGTAAACTCAGGAACATGCTTCATCAATTAGAAAAAATTAAGACGTTGGTCAATACATAAACGTATTTATTCTACCATATAATCCGAACTTGCAAATCGTAGGGACGTTGTATTTCAACAGGACAGTGCCAGAGCTTATGTTTCATTGGAGAGTCGGATGGACCCCTAGAGTTTCAGTGGATACCACCTTGTAACCACCATGCTCTAAGTAACTTTCACAGTCTAACTACTACTTCTGCTAGGCCTCAGAGGGTTTTTTTTTCCGAAGAAAAATTTGATTCACTTGATGAAGTGAAAATCTACCTGGCAGACTTCTTTGACAGTAAGCCGTCATCCAATTTTCGGCAGAGAATTATAAATCTCCTGAAATGTGTTTGCCTTTTAAAACATGATGTAGATTATATGGTAGAATAAATAAAATAGGAGTTAGAAATTTGGAGAGAGTTACGTTTATTGTGATCATGTTGCAGGAGCTTTCCAACAAACCAATATTTATTATAAATAAAAGAAATATTACGCCACAAATTAGAAATTAGGTTAAAAACCGTAAAAATATTTGACATAAATTAAAAACATTAAGAAACACACGAGGCTACAAACGTTGAAAAACAAATTATTAAATTCGAAACTTCAAATAACTTTTTCTGCCATATTTAATTTTCCAAAGAAAAGTAATTTAAAGCAAATTTTCTAAAAGCTATAAAATGTTAAGTTTCAAAGATCTATAAAAATGCTAAGAAATACCATATCGCATAGTTAGAGGGAATCAATTTCTCATTTACAGCGAAAGATAAAATATTTAATTGAAAATAGAAGCTCAAGTATAGAAAAACTACTTTCGCATCAGTTAATTTCGGATACTTTATGTTCAAAGTTTTAATTCTGAAAAATTTTTAATGTGTCAAACCAGCGCAAATAGCTTTTAAATAAAATTTGTATATGTATAAACATTTCTTAGATTATGCTTCGTAGAAAACTAATTTAAAAAAATTTTTAATGACTGAGAATCAAGGTCTTTAAAAAGATTATGTATATTGATTTTCTTTCTAATACATGTAACACAGATTTTACACTTGTTATTTAGCAGTATATTTACGCTGTTAAAGTAGTCTCTCTTTATATTTAACCTTTAACAGAAACGAAAACTTGAAATTTGTTGCGAGGTGTGAAATTTAAGGAAATTTTAGCTTTACATGTTTTACATTTATATGAACATGACGAAGCACAGATGGCTGCCTGCTTAAGAGGATAGAAAACTACTACATAGGACTACATAAAAAATGGCTTGTATGTATTTTACTCAGAGAGAGATAGAGAGGGAAAAAAGGAAAATTAATCGTGCAGCCAAGGCATTTACCTGGGCTCAAATCCAGAAGATAAAACTACCAGTACTCAGTGGTTTTAAACATCCATTTAGTCGTCGTACAAATCTCGATTTGATGTAAATTGATTGTTCGAATATTTTATCAATTATTTATCGAAATTGAAGTATAATAATATGTAATCATGTCAGCTATATTAATATTGTGAAATTTATGCTAATAAAAATAAACTCTCAAGTATTCACTTAAAAATAACGGGAAACTAACAAATTGATATCTATAATTTAATATATACACTTTCTGACAAAAAATCGACGCACCAAGAAGGAGCTGTCCGATAAAAACAAAAATTGGTGGCTAGAAAGATTATTCACAGAATAAAAAAAAATATTAAAATTTCAGAACATCTGAATGATTTATTTCAGAGTTACATAGTTACAAAGTAACGAGCCCAGTAAGGTGTTGAGCCTCCTTTAGCCTGGATGCAAGCTACCACACGGCATGGCATAGACTGATAAAGCTACCTGATGGTCTCCTGCGGTATTTGTTGCCAAATGTGCTCCAATTTTCGGGTTAGGTCATCAACATTCGCTGGTAGATGCAGTCGCTTTCCCAATCACATCCCAGACATGCTTAATGGGAGAGAGATCTGGCGATCTGGCTGGCCAAGGAAGTGTTTGACAAGCTGTAAGACAGCTCATAGCAACACGTGTCGTATGTGCTCTGACATTATCTTGCTGTAAACTAATGTCAAGGTACTGCAAAAGGAACGGTAGCAAAACAATACTCAGGATGTCGTCGACGCACCGCTGTGCTGTAAGTGTGCCTCTAATGACGACCAAAGAAGTCTGGCTATCAAGAGGAATGTCACTCTAAACAATAACTCCTGGTTGAAGGCCTGTGTGGCGTGCTGTAGAGAAAGCAGGATAGGCATGCTGCTCTGGGCGTCTTCAGACACGACTTCGATGATCGTCACGACACAGTTGGATGCGGAATTCGTCGATAAAGACTATACGTCGCCAGTCAGCATCATTCCAACCTGATCGGGCCAAGAAGCACTGTTAGCTTGTTCGACAGTGTGCAGGCAGGCGTGTGTGGCAGGTGGCTAACGGTAGGTACGAGCGTAAATTGAGCTCTATCTGCTGTCTGTGAATGATCATGTTGGACACTCGTGTGCGGTTCGCACATCTCATGGTTAATAGCAATGAATCAGGCGCTGTAACAGCTGATCTGACAATCACTCTGTCCTCCCGATCAGTTTTGTAGCCCTAGGTCGACCGCTACCATCATGACGCTGAAATCTGCCACTGTCCACTCATTCTTGCCATCATCTTCTAATCGCCGCATCGGTTCAACTCATATGACGAGAGATGGTCCGATTTGCCCAATCTGCCTCTTTCAAACTCTGAAAGTTGCTCGTAATGTGCTCTAATCCTGCGGCGAGGCACTTTTTCTGTTGTTGAAAGGTATCCTAAATCGCGATGCAACAAAATATTTTAACATCAATTCAAAAACAGCTCCTTATATACATCGGCTGAATGCGCAGCTCCGATGTGCTGGAGATCGCACTATTAATTCATTGGACACCCAATTTTAAGTATTTGCATATTTGGTCAAAGCATTTATGCATACGGAATACGGAAGTTCAGATCTTTCGGATGATTCTTTCTTTATTGCGTAGTTTTTTTTTTTTTTTTTTTTTTTTTTTTGTAGAGTGTCTATATATTTTGCTTTTGTTCTGCTTGGCTTTATCTAAGTATGTTTTTTCAACCCATCAGTTTTAAATATGCTTATAATTTTACCAAAAATTATTAAAAAAATCCTTCAATTATATAAATTTTAAGTATTCTGCGTATATACTGTTTCGTTTTGTTTCAAGTTCTTGCCTCTGAATATGTTTTTTAATTTACTTTTAATATGAATTACCACTAAATTACAGCAGCTTTCAAAGTGCGGTTTAGTTTTCGGTTTATTAAAGCTTTTGATTTTTATTTTCATTCATACGCAGATTGGTCCAAAATTAAGTATTTCATATTTGAAAAAAATAACAAAATTAATTACGTACAAACGTAACAAAATGAGTTATTATTACGTTTATTGTTTTCTTGGGAAGGCAATTAAACAGTTTTACACATCAATATTTTAAAAATTTAATAACATACGCATGAGCTCCATTTGCGGCACTCAAAATATACAGTCGATATTCAATTTCACGACAAGTGTTTTGCAGTAATTTGTCCTTTCAGGTCATCGATATTCGGAACAGGAGTTGCATACACTAAGTCCTTAACATACCCCCATGAGAAAACGACAAGTGCTCTAATGTCGGGGGATCATGGCGCCCATAATATCGGCCCTCCAATACCAATCCAGCGATCAGGAAATTTTTGTCTAGCTCCGTTAGAACTACGGAGTCCCATAAAATCTTTTTCACTGACTTTTCGATTAGTAGATATGGCCAAAGATTTCATCTACAGCCAGTGCGAACCAAGCATTAACTAACTCTGTGCTTTTTTTACTGCATGAGGAGATCAGTTCCACAGATCCGACAGTTATTGACAGTTAACATAACCAGAAACATGGAAATTAAAATTGTTGTGTAAAACTGTTTAAAAAGAAACCAATAAACGTGTACGTACCTCTTTCTTTTTTTAAATATGAAATGCGTTTAATAATTTTGGACCACTCTGTATATATATATATATATATATTAAATGAATATTTTTACCGCTTTTTTGTTGCTTTGATTTGATTAAAATTACAGTAATTAATTACCGAGTAAGAACTTCGTGGAAAATTGTAAATACATTAGATATCATGTTACTATTACGTAATAAATACACTTTATGAGTTTTCAGATTCATTCTAAGCATATTTGTGTATTTTATAAGAAAACGTTAATTCTTAGGAAATGTTAATTTTCAAACGTATCAAGAGAAATGTCTGTGTGATAGTATATAAAAACGGGGGTATGACGAATTCTTTATAACAAACATCAACTCATAGATTTAACATGTAAAAGTTTATACTTGAAAAAGCTTTGTATTTGAACTAGAAAAACAGCGTTTAATACACGTACCGTCAGATGCTTCACAAAACAAAGATACAGATGAACCTTCGTCATAAGGCCCTATGACATCTTGCATTGTTTGACCATGCTCGTCTGTTATCACAACTTTGGGAGGCACTGAAAAAGGAAAAATAATATTTTACTCTTTCAGATTGAACCAACGAAAACAATGTAAACTGTTAGTGAATCTGATCAGCTTTAAGTCATTTTGTAATGAATTCAATGAATACTTCAGTTTCCTTCCTAATAATTAATCTTCGAAATCTAGTACTTAATTTCAGCTTCTTTATTTTTCATGCTTATATTAAAAATTGGAACAATAAAACTGGAATTGGATGATTACTCGTGAAACGATGTAACGATGAAATCGTGATTTATGATGAAAATACTTACTCATTATATCTTCTAATAATGATTAAGAGAGTAAGAAAATAAAGAATTCTCAGTTAAATTAAACTGATTCCAAAATTTTGGATAGTTGGTTAAACGAAATTAATTAAGAATGAAATTTTATTTAAAATTATTAAAGATATAAAATTCGCATTGATATTTCAAGAAAAATTATTTTTTTACATAATACATTTTTGAATGGATAATGAATTGTTAATAACCCTGAAGAAATAAGTGCTACTTTCCATTATTCTGTTCCCTAGTGCATTGACATTTATATTGTCCAGTGACTGTATTCCTTTAATTTATTAGTTATAACGTATACTTTAGAACCGTAAGTTTGAATTCTTTTAATATTGATGAAGATGTGATTTTCATATAATTTTTTGCTAGGGAAGTTTTTAACTGCATTAAAATATTTTTAGAAAATATTCGAAAGATATTCTACTTCTGATTTTTAAATACACGGTTTATATTTAACCATTTCACTATTTCTTCAAAGACACACAAAACAGTTTGAAAACGGATGTCATAAGGCATCAGCAACGAGACACATTTGTCGGAATTAAATGTAACCAGGACCGTTACGTCAACGCTCCGTGTTTTATAATCCCCAGAATGCGGCGAAAATGAAAACGGGATATTCACGGGCTACGCGGTCATGCTTTTTCCACGGCGGGATTCTATCAAGATCATTAAATAGTTTTCTCAGAGAGATGAAAAATAGGAATGCATCTCCACTACTCTTTCAATTAGCTTTTCAATGGCTCTACGGCTCATCCAAAAGCGTTCCTTTAGGGGACTAGGAAACGCAAATGATTTTTTTCTAGATAGGGCTGATGCTATTTAACATCTTTGATTGTGAGAAGTACGCGGTTCAAGTCGATTTGGCAAGAATTTCTAAATTGATCTTGACAACTGAAGAAAGAAGAAAACCTGTGACAAAATGTTTATTGGAAATGAAGAAAGGAAATATTATAAGTTCTGATGCTGAAGAATTTTATTTAAATGCATATTATTAAAATTGAAAACAAATTGAAATCAATCACATATTATTCAGAATTATTAAATATACAATTTATAGATTGAAAAAGATTAGCTATATAATTAACGCTTACAGGCTCAATAAATGTGCTGAAAAATATAGTACTAAAAACGTATATCCTCTATGCATACACACTACATCAGTTCTGTATATTAAAATGAAATGTTTCCACTTTTTCCACAACTATTCAGCAACCAGCTCTCCATATGGATTATGAGTATCATTTTCTATTAAAATTAATGCTAGCTTAGTTAACCTATTTTGAAAAATTTTATGTGTACACTACATGACTTCCTTGTACAGAATATTAAATTATACGCAATTTTCCTGCATTTCATTTAAACATATTGAACGAATTTTGAATTAAGTCTACTTTGTCGATAGCGCATAAACCATAATAGAATAAATGCACTCTTTAAAGTTCACTTTATTTATTTACCATAGCGACACTTCGGCGCTAGGTTCACTTAACAGTGTTACATCTCGTTCCTTTTATAACTCAGAGAGCACAAAAATTATATCATCTGAAGAATTACTACATTTTCTATTTAAATACTAATAACTCTAAAACGATGTTTAAAAGAAATTAAACAAATGATAAAGAAACAAATCTTTACAGACGATTCAGTTCCGTTTACTTAATGCGCATGCGCTACTAAGATTTTTCTCACTTGTTTTTTCTCACATTCAGTTCTCACTTGGCGGCAAGGCAAAAATTCAAAATATTTTCAATAAATTTGAAAGATATGGGTAAACATAAAACACCAAGTACCGTTAAAAGAATTTGCACAGTTAAAAGTACAGTTTATACGCAAAAAAGCTAATAACTTAAATGATAATTCCAGAATGAATTAAGCATAATTTAATTCGCAATAATAAAAGCAGACATTACTTTGCTGTTGCGAAGCTTAGTTTTCTAGATTGGCAACAAATACCCTATTCTGCTAAGTTTCTAATGTAAACAAATATGGATGCCATGCTAATCAAAAACTAGGCTTAGCCGCACTTAAAAAACTTTTAAATTGTTGATAACGCCACAATTATTGCATGCAGGTTAACTAAAGGCATAAAAATCTTAACCGGAAGATAAGAAAAACATAATTCAATCATTTTTTAAAGCAAAAACTGCACAATTTACAAACATATAAGAATACAGAAACTGAGCTTAACAGACTGTGTATATTATATGTACATATATTTATACTTTTGGTGCGTTCGATTGCAACCGAAATGGGATGTGTACATGTTATAGCAGTCCTATTTGCAAAATTTCAACTTTCCGAGGCTACTCGTTTTTGAGTTATGCGAGATATATACGTACGTACGTACTGACGCTACGAAAAATCTCTTCAGAATTCATTTTAAATCAGTTTTATAATAATATTTTTTGGGGAAAAGAGTCCTTTATTCTATCCTTACGTACAGATTTCACGCAACAACATAGTTAAATTGCATTCGATAACGGTCAAAATGGAAATTTTTGTTGAAATATGATACTTGAAATTTTTCGCGATTACAAAACTTCCTTTTCACTTCGTACAAGGAAGTAAAAAAAAAAAAAACATTCATGTCTGATTTAGCTTACGGCAATTATCAGCAGAAATTACAGGTCTCTGAACCAAAAATTTATATGGTTACGTAAGAAAAGTGTTTAATATTTCTTGAGGACCAGTTCAATGTATGACAAAAATTTATATATACCATTTTGATATATTTAACTCTTCATATAATGTATATTATTAATGTGAGAAATGAGCGGTCGGGCGACTACTCAATGCTAGTATGCCCATGCATTGAGGCTCCGTACATTCTAACTGGTTTTCACTGTGAAAGGGAAAATTGTTACTAATGGTAAACTAATAAATTTAATTATAATTTATGTATGCAAATTTATGCATTGTGCAAATTTATATACAATTTATGCATAATTTATATATATTTATATATTATTTATATACATTTATATACGTAAATTATAAGTAAATTAAAAATTTTATTTATATTTGTACACGAAAATTATTCATAATTTATGTATAGTAATGTATAAATTACTTATATTTATATTTTTAGTAATATATCGTAAACTAATACATTTAGTCCAGTTATTTATTTATTCTCTTCTTAATCACAGTCAGGGTGTCTCATTTATAATTTCAATGAAATGTAAAACTGTTCATGTGTCACTTACATTTTCAAGAAACTGAAGTAAAAAAAATAATAATAATAAAATAAAACGCACCTTATTTTTCAATTTTTTATTTTTGGAGCATTTCTGAATTGTTGTTCCCAAACATTACTGGATTTACGTAACGTGTTACGAAAGCGCTGCATACATAGGTAAACGAAATGAGAGTATTTTCAAGAAATGAGTGTATTTCAATGAGTTTTAGTCTTTTCAAGCAACTACAAAATGTTGCATGATAATTTTTCATTCTTACGTATTGTAATGCATTGATGTTGCACACAAAATAAGAATGATAATTTATATTCCGCTTGACAGAACAACTCCCACAATATTGTTATTTAATGTGTCATAAAATCTTCAACTTATTTTATAAAATTTAAATGTAGTGTTAATAATCAAAATCGTAAAAACAACCTTGTATTTAGCGTAAGTATAATGAAACACTCAATCGATTTCGAGGGCAGCTAAAGGTCCCTTCTCATCAGGAGATAGAAATACCAAGAAAGAAGAAAATAAAGGAGAAGGAGTCTCAGAAACACGTGGTCCTTATCAGCACTGCACGTGGTTATAACTAGATTTTTAATCAGAGTTGCACTGGCCGTCTACTTTTACTGAGCCAGGCTATCTGATCAAGCATAAAGGACAAGAAAAATTAGCGAAGTTAAAATAGGGAGCGAGGGGCAAATGCACCTTCACGCTCAAAATCTGAACTTAAAAAAAATATATATATGAGATGGCATCGTTCATTATAATCGGATGACGCGACAAGCTGTGAGAATAAATCTTTTACTTTTCGGATGATAGAAGTCAGACGTTTCCGCCATTAAGACGATGATGCGACTGGAAGATGTTTACATGTAAAAGACGGTCGATTCTCTTCATCTGTAAATATCATCTATGTAAATTCATTCTTCTACACATGTAATCATTTTGTAGTTTGTAGCAACTATTCATGTTTTCATTAAATATTCAAGTTATTCGTAAATTTTACTAGTTTATTAGACCCTAGACAGCCACAAAAGAAGTAAGTTTACAGACATCATATTCCTAGACAGTTAAGTACCTATTCTGCAGATTTGGGCGATCAGGCCGCAATGAGCCTAGGACGAATCATGATGAATATTAAAAAAAGAAAAGAAATAAGTTTTGTTTCAATTATTTCCACATTGTTACTTCTAAAAATAGTGATACTGTGAATTAAGATGACTACCTTAAATTCTATTCCTAGAATTTCAAATTCTTTAAAGCCTGTGCCTAGTACTTAGTCAATTAAACTTTTACATCAAATTGTGTTTGGAACTTTGGGTGATCGAAAAAATAGAGCGAGATTGCGTAACTTTTGTTGTTTTCCATCTGATTTTAATGTTGAAGAAACAAAACAAAAGTTACTTAACACTCTTACTGCAAATGATTTTATTTCTATGTGTAATTTGTAACATCTTAATTATGATTCAAATACTGATAAAAACTGTGATTTAATATTGAATAGTCTTTGTG